AAAATTTAAAAAAAAAAAAAAAAAAAAAAAAAAAAAAAAAAAAAAAAAAAAAAAAAGAAAAAAATCGAAGAAAAGTAAATAAGTTGAAAAAGAAAGCGTGATCGCTATGTAATAAACCATACCGGCAGTTCCCTTAGTGCAGCGGCCGCCTTTCCTACGACGGCACATATCATACCTGTTTTGCGAAATAAAAATCAAACAGTATGAAATCACCAAATCACTGCTGTGGTAAAATGATAAAATAGCATAATGTCAAAGATATACTCATTTTTGAAATTTGATCGAAATCGGCATTCTATAATAATAATAATCTTTCAAATACGTTTTTATCAAATTACTATATCATTATTTTTCTTTCGAGTTTTCATTATTTTCCAATTTTGATTGTAAAAAAGAAAAAAAATGGAAATTATTTAAATGCATTATATCGATATCAAAGGGATAAAGAGAAGGATATAAAAAAAGGAGAGAAAGAGAGAGAAGTTAACAGAATAGAACATTTTTTCGTATGTTAATCACGTGAAACGTAAAAGTTAAATCGAATTTAAAGAAATGTGCACTCTTACTTTGTAACAGCGACAGCGATATCATACACCGGAAGTCGTCTTTCTCGGAAGAGATATTTCCCCATGTCGGTCAACGCAGCTGCCGAATCGATTGCATCTCGACCGACGCGATTTCTTTCCAAATAAGGCGTAGCATCTCTTCCCTGAATAATAATTGTTTCAGGTAAGAAAAAAAAATAGATAGAAAATTGTGAATAACCAAAACTAGATTGATTCATGAAACAATCATATTTTGGTAAAAGATTATCAAATTGTACTTCACCCGTGATATTATGATTCCAGCTATACTGATGCGAATTTTTGGTCCTTTTAATAATTTGTACCTCAAGTCTACTCCATTCCAAAAGGACACGAAATATCTCTTGATCTGTACATTATCACCACCGTGTAATCTGATAAAAAACAAAGATTAAATTATAAACTTTGCTTTATATTAAATTACATATTAAATATAGGTTATAGTAAATAACATATTTTTTATGGAATTTAGAAAATTTTATGATTTTAATAAATTTTTTTTAAATTAAATAATCAAAATATCAATAATGCTTTTAATAATTACTTTCTTAAATATTGATTTTAACTAACCTGTATCCATCATAGTCAACGATGCACAGAATTTCTGGGTAGATCACGTATGGTGCTTCCCTTTTTCTTCTGATGGAAATTGATCGTTTAGATCTAAACCTCTTGGCCATGTGGTCAGGCTCCATCAATGCTAAAATCGATGTTTAATCACGAGAAATCGATCTCAAGTGGATTTCACCTTCGATGTGGTAACACGTAAAGATCACTCACTGTAATCGCTGTATTCGTCGCCAATTGAACGATTCACTTTCTTGTATACCACGTGATGATTCGTATGCTTCAAGTTCCTTTTACTTCGTGTCACGTTTGGCAATAACTCTTCTCTGTGAAGATTCGAATTCTTGCCTACTACTTCGTGCAATATCCTATCTGGCAGTGGTCGTATTACTAGTTCTGAACCAATATTGCCATCCTAGTTAGAATCAAGATTTCTTGTTATTCTTTTAAATATATATAATATTGATATTTTATAAGAGAGAGATAACAATTTATTATATCTTTTTTTTCTATTATTATATTATTTTTAGATATCTAAGATATTAAATATTTATTATTCATTTATAATTTTAAAAATTACTTTCATAAACACATTTAAGGTTAATCCTCATTTTTAATTTTCAAACTTAATATTCTACTAATCTAAAATTTTTTAAAAATCTTCTACAATTTCAATATTTTTATATTCTTATTTTCAATTTTCATGCTATTTTTTTCAATTTTCTCAATTATTAAATTCATGCTATTTTTTCAATTTTCTCAATTATAAAATAAACAATAGCACTAATTAGCATTTCCTGCCGCAATAATATGTTAACTGCACATTTAACGAGATAACGAAGTATGATCGGTTAATAGCTTAAATGCGCATGCGCTATACGCCAATTTTCCATTCAATGGTCAACGACTTATGTCTATATCGTTTGTAATTACAGCAACGTGTTAATTCTAATATGAATTTAACGAAAATGAAATACGCGTTTTGTGAAGTAATCGAAATCAATCGATCGATTGTTGATATTTTCGATCCGGGTACGATCAACATATTCGATTCGCGATTCGAGAGAGGTACATTGGTCAAACGAGAGAGGGAGAGTGAAAGCGAAAGGTCAGGACACGTGGGGTCATATAGAACAACGCTTTTACGGCATTATGTAATGCGGATTGACGATATTTGTTGTCTTTGGAATTTATTCGTGTGGTTATTTATACAAGAGTCGTAACAAGAGAATCATTGATGGTTAATGTGCGGGATTCTTAAATTAGGTTAGGTCGTCCATAGTGGTAAAGCTACTTATGACTTGACAGCAAGGTGTGTTACAATAGAAATTTATTAGTGGTTAACGTATGGAAGAAGACAATTATTAGTGGTTAATATATCTACAGAATAGATTAACTCCTTATGTTAATTCGACATTAAAGTATTTTAGATAAACATTAAATAGAATTGATAGATGTTTCACAACAAGTAAATGTCATTTTAACGTGATATTTTTTTGATGAATTAAAAGTAAAGAACTATTTTTAATTATTTTATAATATTTCAGATAAAAATTGATTGATTTAATTATTGTAGATAAAAATTGAAAGAAATTCCTATATTTTTTGTATAATAGAATTATTACAATAAAATACTCAAGTTACTTTTATCAAATTATGAAATATTTTAAAAATATATTATATTTTAATAAAATATTTATTGATTTTGGATGGGAAACAAATTGTCACGTGTTAAAAATTTAAGAATATATTGAGAAAATTTTATCACGTGTAATCATTTTTTAAAATATAACAGTTTTTTCTCGCATTTTTTATATACTTTATCATATGTCAAAATTGCTTTCCAAAAGTTTGTTCGCACTTCTCTCACATACACTGCAAAAACATGCTTCATCCTACGCAGTGATTAACAGATCGTTGTCAAGGACATCCTTTCATCCGATTTTTGAAGCATGAATAAAGTGATAAAAAGAAACTATAAACAGTGAAATTTATACCGTAGAGAATACTCTGATGTTACAGAAAATGTTAATTTTAGATCTGAATTTTCAATGAATTGCTGCATAATGTGCATTCGATGTGCCAAGATATTATCAAGGTGAAAGAATCGGAATTCCATTCGAGAACGTGAATACGATTTTTTCAACGATTACATATAGAAAATTTACACTGCATTTAATTGTTAATGTTTCCTTTATACTTCCTTTATTTTTGTTTTCTTATACTTTATATAATTATTCATAATATATATAATTATTCGTAAAAATTTATAATTTGTTAATTTAATAACAAATTAAATAATAAAATAATTTTTCTATTTTTATGATATAACGAATTAAGATTTATTTTATACATTTTTTTAAAAATTTTTAATTATAGTAATTTTGTCTCCATCCAAAATAAATAATATATATTTATATTTTTAGTTTCATTATGAAATTATGAAAAAAAAATTATTAATGTTATTAAAGTCATTAGTATTATTATATAAGAAACACCTCGACGCTAATAAAAAAAATGTTATTAATAACGATAATGACTTTGAAATACTTCCACGTGCAAATTTTATTAATGGATTCGCTTGATTTAAAGAATTCTACCCGTGGTCATAAATGAAATCATTGTCAAGGTAGATCTCTAATACATTTCACTATTGGAATTGACAATGAGACAATTTGTTTGTTTCACGTCTTGTTATGTAATTAACAAGAGTTCTATCGGTTATTCTCACAAAAAAGAAAAAAATTCAAAGACCTTCTTATATTTACACACGAATTTACTAATTGCATTATTTTCCTTCAAATTGCACTATCAATCATCATAACAATGGTTTTTAATTATTCTCCTAGCGAATAGCACAAAGAACATAAATCCACGGGCAATTTGTTTCTTGAATGATTTATTCTCCGTAACATACTCAATTTCTAATAATAGAAGCCGCAAATGCATGGTAATTTCATTTCCTTAACTAACTACTCAAGTTTGCTTAAAACATCTAGGTAATCATATGAAGATAATTATTGGTAATGTTATACTATTTAAATAGTAGAATATAAAACAAATAGATATAAAAAATACTCTCAATAATGTAATAATATTTAAGCATCCTCAATATAGTATAATATAGTAAGATACTTTTATATACCAATTATACTGAAACCAATATTCTTTATATATTGTATTGTATTATGTACTGTACTAAAGATACAAAAAAAAAAAAAAAAATAATGGTACAAGATAAATTAGTCTTTTCCAGTGGAATGATTTTAAAAGAAGAAGTTTTGTAAAGAAATATAATTATAAATAAGTTCTGCTACACCTAAGAAGTCAAGTATCTCTTTCCTAACAATTCTGTCAATGGACTTTGAGTAATTCGATGAGTAA